GAGGAGATAGAGGGTTTAAAGCACAAAGGTAGGGAAGTGCCAGGTCATTTATGAGTAAGCAGGGGCAGAAACAGGATCTGCTTCCCATTAGGAAACACCTTTATCTACCTGCATCAATTCCTCTCTTATCTCTAGTCCAGGGATTTAGCGAGTCCAGGAGGCCAGGGAGCTGCTGCGAGGGCTGGAGCAGCTCTGCTCTGGAGCCAGGCTGAGAGAGCTGGGCTGGGGCAGCTGGAGAAGAGAAGGCTCCTCAAGGGGACACCTTAGAGCAGCTCCAGTGCCTAAAGGGGCTCCAGGAAACCTGGAGAGGGGCTTTGGACAAGGGATGGAGGGACAGGCCAAGGGGAATGGCTTGAACCTGCCAGAGGGGAGACTGAGATGAGCTCTGAGGCAGAAGCTCTTCCCTGTGAGGGTGCTGAGGCGCTGGCACAGGGTGCCCAGAGAAGCTGTGGCTGCCCCATCCCTGGCAGTGTTCAAGGCCAGGTTGGACACAGGGGCTTGGAGCAACCTGCTCTAGTGGAAGGTGTCCCTGCCCGGGGCAGGGGTTGGAGCTGGAGGAGCTTTAAGGTCCCTTGAACCCAAACCAGGCTGGGATTCCACAAGATATTCAGAGGAGCAGAAGTTTGAAACACCTCAGATAGATAGATTTAGGACTCTGCTTTCTCTCAGCAGCCTCAGCTGTTGAAGCTTCAGCTGTGTCAGAGTTGTGAGAGTTCCCTCAGGAGCAGGAAGGACACACAGGTTCCTTCCAAAACTATCCCAGACTGAATCCTGGCAGCAGCCTGTCTGTGCTGCCCACCCAGGTGGTGTATGGCACCCAGCTCCAGTGGTTTGCATCACCTGCCCTCGCTCCAGCCACATGTGCTACCACCAGATCAGCCCGATAACCCTTGCAGTGGCACCGCGGTGCCCTGGGCACTGCTCATGTCTCCAGTTCTAGATGAGCAGCAGTCGGTGTGTCCGGGTGTCTCTGGTCAGTGCAGGCTCTGCTGTGACTTCCCTCTCCCCTTTCTTCCCCCCCAGGAAGCAACACGAGAGCGAGGAGGGGGAGAGTCACCGGCGCCACAAGCACAAAAAGAACAAGCGCAGCAAAGAGGAGAAGGAGACCAGTGAGGACGGTGCCCAGGAGGGAGAGGAGCAGGACACCAAGGAGTGACCCCCAGCCCGCAGGAGGAACATCTCTGAACCAGCGTGGCGCTGGGGATGTGTTGGGCTGGGGGTTCATTTTGTATTCCATGTTTCCCAAGGGAAGAGGCAGACTCTGGGTGCGCGGAGCCGCTGCTGCAGCCGGGGAGAGCTGCAGCTCAACTCTCTTCTCTTTGGTTTGCTTTTTTGATACAAGACACAACCCAGCAGTTCCAGTATACAGAGCACTGAGCTACTCCTGACCATCCCTAGGGAGGACTGTGGTGTATCAGATCCTATGGTTTCTGATGGAAGATGGCTTCAGCTGAAACTAACGCATTTAGGTGATAGTGGTTCCTTTTTGTCATCATCATCATTCCTTTCTGAAGAATAGGACAGTGAGTGCGACTTGAACTTTATTGTCCAAAGAGAAGTGTGACCTAGATCCTGAGAGCCAGCTTAGAGCCTGGCTTCGAGTAGTGCAGAGTCCCATCCCCAAATAAATTTCTTTATAGCTACAACAGTATCTTCTGATTTCTCTGGGGCCAATGTGAAGAGGAACCCTGTGTCCTGGTGGGGCAGGAGCTCCAGTTTGGTCTGACCAGGGCTTCCAAGAAGCTGTTGTGTGTGTTCACACAGGGTGCAGAGACTTCGAACCCAGCTGCTTTTTGTTACCCATTGCAGACAGGTCTGTCCTATCTTACACCTCCAAGTGGGCAATCAACAGAAGGCCCATAGTAAGAGCATGAGTTTCTTTCATTAGCTTTGACTTCACTACTTTTGTTTTTACTAAGAGTTGAGCTGAATAATGTAGTGACTGTGAAGTCCCACCTCACAGTTTGCCCTTAGTGGGGTGGCTTAGTTGTATTTGGTTATCCCAAATACCCGTGTGCAACACATTCCTGCCCCTAGGCCTCCAAATAAATCAAATGCCAAGGTTTGCTTTTCCTGCTGGTCAATGCTGAGCCCTGAAGGCACTAGTGGGCTGCAGCCAGGAACAGGGGAGTTGGGATTTGCTTTTGTTCAGTCCCAGTGTATTTCAGGAGAGTCCAGCTCCTTCCCTGGGAGAAGCGGAGGACAATGACACCGTTTCCTGCCTCCTGAGATGAGTTTCTTAAGAGTGGCTGTTGTTGAGGTGACCTGTTCTGGGGGCAGTAGCTGATAGTCTGGCAAGAGAGGTTAAACCCACACCCATCATCACACGTGTTTTTCAGTAGTATTTCAATAATTTATAAAGGCATCAAAACAAATTCAACATCTATTAACAATGAGCTGACTTTGGAAACAACACTTAAGTTACCAGGATGTTTTGGTGATGGTGAAGGCATCTTGAAACGAGATGGAGCAAGAGTAAAAACCGTGCTGCCTTCTGCATCTTCCTCCTCCCTCACACTGTCCGGCTGCTGCACAGCTTCCTCCTGCTGTGCTTCATACAGGTGAGGTTTGGTGTTACTCAGGAGGAACCTACATCACTGTTTAGTGTTCCGTGCCACCACAGGCTCTGCACGTTGAGTGGAAAGGGACAAAACCCACTTCAGGATCTTCTCTGTGGCAGGAGAGGGTTGAGGGTTGGTTTTCCACAGGCACCTTTCCAAGTTTGGAATTGTTTTGCTGTCAGCATCAGTAGAACAAGAGGCACAAAAGGCTGCAGAGCCCAGCACTGTTCCTGCTGTCAGGCTGCAGAGGTATTTATCAAGTGAAGAGGCCACACTGTGTGCTGGGGATGCTTCTGAGGACTGGCTCCTGAGCTATTCCTGTCTAATGGGCTCTGATAACAGGCGCTGCTATACGCTGCCTTAAGCTAAGAGCCGAAGGAAGTGAAGTCACCCTGTGTGTAAACAACTCAGTCACCTAGTGAGGAACAGTTCCACTCTGTAGTAATTGCTAATTACACAGTAGCCAGCCCTAAGAAAAGCGCTGCTTTAGACAATGACAGGCACTTCCCTGCAGTCAGTTTACTACAAGGAATTACACATTCATTCTAGGTAGCATTTTTACAGGGGAGGGAAAAGCTCTTTTGATTCCTGTGGTCTGAGCTGGCCCTGTGAAAGGCACAGCAGGAACTGCGTGAGAGGAGAGATCTCTCAGTGCAACCTGGTGTGAGAAAGATCTGCCACTTGTGATTGACAGCCTTCTAAAACAGGAGGGAATTGCTTCATTGGAGTCTGCAGGCAGGAATTTAGCAGGGGTGAAGGTCAAACCAACCTGCCTTGCCTTCCATGCCTTAATTCTGGATGGGACTGCAGCCACCCCGGGCACACTGACCTGGAGGGGGGATTCACAATCAGCATTCACAGAGAGCTCCACCACACTGACCTGGCAGCTCCTCAGCAGTGAGTGACCATTGGGGTTTCAATGTACAAACACATTCATTGCATTTCGGTAACCTAAAAACATAAAGGCTGGGGGCTGTAGGAACTGCTCAGTTGGGTGCCCATCCTCGGGGTTTTACTAATGGTTTTTAAAAACACATATAAAATGACTCTGTGTTCAAGAATGGCAGTCACACCAGGCAGCAGAACTAAACCAGCAGGGAAATGGGACAGTGGTGCCCGTCTTAATCTGTTCAGAATAGTAAATGGGAAGCAGAGCTCTAAAACTGAGGAAAATGCCTCCAAAGTGATTTGTAGAGAAATGCAGGGAAATGAGCTTCCTCTGCACCAATCCTAAAGAGCTACAACTGTTCAGATTAGCCTTGGCTTTGAATCCAAGAGCCAGATGTGTAGATAACCTCAGCACAGTAAAGAAATGTTTCCTGCAAAAAGGAAGCTAAAAAGTCTTCCATGGCAACAGCAAGAGTTCACTATTCCCTCGGGCTGTTTAGCTTTGTGTGATGGCAGCTGATACCTGGAACTGTGGTGTGTGAGCTTTCACACGAGGCTGCCTGGCCAGGACACCACAGTGAGTGTGACTTTGTTCCTCTGCTCCTTCAGCATCGGGATGAGTTCCGAGTTGCTCATTCCTATCGCGGGCACTCCATTTACTGCCACGATTTCATCTCCACACCTAGTCCGAGACAGGGAAATGCTTGTTAGGATTAATTACTGTTAACACTGTGCCCAAGGACCCCTGGGGTCATCGAGCCCACCCTCAGCCAAGAACATCAGCTCCTTGTTGGAGCAACTTGTCCCTTCTGAGCCAGAGGGCGAAGGAAAAGGACACTGCTGGTACTTCAGGGGCAGCAGCGAAGGTCCCTGCGCAGCAGAGGGAGGAGTTATAGAAAACAAATTAGTGCTGACAAACACTCTCATGGCCAAGGTCACTCCTGCAGCCACTTGAGTGGCAGTCCCTCAGGTGAAGTGCTCACGAGGCTCTAGCTCAGTACACAGAGGTTTTGGCATCCTGCTTGCTCTGCCCCCACCCCTGTGGTGCACCGAGCTCCCTGCTGAGCGGTCAGCAGTGATGATGTGAGGGGTTAAAGGCAGCCCAGTGCCTGCCCCGTGTCCAGTGGGCACAGCACAGGAGCCCAGCTGCCCCCAGTCCTCTCAGTAAGGCTCTGACCCTGCTCTGGTCTTTCCCACTGCTTTTGGGGGAGCAAAGCCCAGCTCCCTGCACCACAGCAGCCTCACTTCTGTTCTTGACAGCGCTGCATTTGTCTCAAACATCCCCTTTCTACTTTTATCTAACTGCTCAGTTAAAACCTTTACACAGCCTTTAAAATGTATCTGTTAATTCCTTTTAGTTGCACCTTTATAAAGAAACAAAACCAGTCATTAACACAGGACTCTGGCACAACACTGGTGACAGCATTAACTTGCACAGGTAAGCATCTAAGAGTCAGGAGTCATCAGCCTTTAGCCCCTCACTAAAACACTGACCTAAGTAGCAGTGTCTCTGGTGCAGACATACGTACTTGAGCTTCCTGTCTCGGAAGGCAGGCGTCCCAGGCACTATGGTTTTGATGAAGAATGGCTTGTTTCCTTTGCTTTCCTCAAAGCCCCCGACGATGCTGAAGCCCCAGCTCTCCAGGTTACCCTTGCTAAGGACAATATCTTGACAGCAGTGAAGGTAGCTGCAAAGACAGGCACAGGCAAACCCAGAGTAAGCTGAGGAGTGTGTGTGAAGGAAAACTGCCTGAACACAAATGTTGGTTTTCCCTTGTGGAAAACACAGCTATGTAACAGCCTGATGGTTATTTTACTGTTTTAAGGATTTAAGGCAACCCTTTTGCAGGGATAAGTTTCAAATCTGAAGATGCCAGTCCTTTAGAAATCCTCTCTCACTATTGTCAGTGCTAGTTTAAGAGTGAACAGAAAATCACTGTCCTCTAAAGGGGCCGAGACCTGAAAGACTGAATTCTGCTGCTGAACATGCACAGCAGTAGTGACAAAACCAAATGAATCCTGTACAGCAGTTATACCCATGCAATTCTGACTTCCATCTGTGAAGGCATTCAGCAGCAACACATGGCTGATGGAAAGCAAACGTGAGGTATGGCAGCCACATCAGGATACGAGAGGTCTTCCCTGCAGGATCTCACCCAGCACTGCAGTGCACACTTAAGGAGCTGGACACCTCAGAGGCCACTTTCTGAACCCCAGCCACTGAGGAATGTCTTCTCAGCAAGCCTGGGGCTGCTGCAGCACTAGGGCTGCCCTGCAGAAGACGACAGGTAAGTGCCAACAGCACTTGCACCCTGAGTTTGGAGCACGAAGACACACAGAGCCCTTGTGAGGCGTCTGGAAAGGTGTGGCAGGAGCCTGGGCAAGCATCTCGCGTTCGCTGGCACGCAGACAGGTTGTGTTCTGGCACCCAGGAGCTGCCGCTGTGTGAAACTGCTGCTGCTCACCCCACGGAGGTGTTCCAGCAGCTAAACTTCTCCCAGTAAACGTTCTGGCCCCCAGGGCTTTGCCTGAGCTGTTTGCAGATGAGTTTCAGATTTCAAAAGCCACCTCAGTTACTTCTCACTAGGAGAAAGATCCAATTATCTGCTTTCAAACTGTAATTTACTCGTGTAGCTCTTCACACACAAACGCTGGGAGACTCAGCTCTACCTTACTGATGCCTCCATGGTTTTCTTCTCCTGGTAAC